CTCCCTCTCTCACTGTCCGTGACAGAAGCTGCCATGCTACCTTAGGTTTTTTGTTTTGCCATCCAAATCTCAAAAGGGTTGACTGGAGAGTTTTAAGGTATTGGGCGGGGACATTTATTTGTAGTGTTCGGAATAGATATAGAATTTTTGGCAGGATCATCATTTTGATGGCCGCGCATCTACCCACCCAAGATAGGTATTTGCCCAGGTTTTCAATGTATTTTCAATTTCCGTGTGGAGTTTTTGGTAGTTCATTGTGAAAAGTGAGTTATATGTTTTTGTGATTTTGATTCCTAGAAATGTGAGGTAGTCTTCTCGCCAGTCATAGTGAAATGTCGTTTTGAGTCTGGTCATTGTGTTGTCCTCTATGCCTATTCCCATTGCTTGGGTTTTAGTGATGTTTAGTTTGTAGTATGAGTGTGCGCTATAGGTTTGGAGTTCTTTTTGGAGATTTGGGAGGGAAATCAATGGTTGGGATAGCGTTAAAAGGACGTTGTCTGCGAATAGGTTGAGTTTGTACTCTCTTTCTCCTATATTGATGCCATGGATGTTTGGGTTTCGTCTGATGGCTTCTGCGAGGGGTTCCAGGGCTAATACATAGAGAAGTGGTGACAGGGGGCATCCCTGCCTAGTCCCATTTGTGATGTCGAATGGATCTGATTGGAAACCTGAGGATGTTACCGCGGCGTTCGGAGAGCTGTATAGGGCTTTGATGGCCGTCAGGTAAGTGGGGGGGGGAAGTCAAATTTTTTGAGGGTAGCCTCTAGGAATTGCCAATTCAGTCTGTTGAAGGCTTTTTCTGCGTCTAGGGAGATTATGAGACCTTGTTTCCAGTCCCTGTGTATCGTCTGTATTATGTCTATTACCTTTCGTGTATTGTCTGAGCCTTGCCTTCCGTGTACAAAGCCCACTTGGTCATTTGAGATAAGGTCGGGGAGGATGTTTTTGAGTCGGTTAGCTAGAATTTTTGCATATATTTTGGTGTCTGAGTTTAGTAATGATATGGGGCGGAAGTTTTGGCAGTGTGTCGGAGGTTTTCCCGGTTTCGGTAGGGTAATTATTCTAGCTGCCAGGTACTCCGCTGGGAAGTTCCCCGTCTGAAAGCCCTGTTGAGGTGTGGGGCCAGGTGTGGTGCAAATTTCTTATAGTACTCGTTCGTAAAGCCATCTGGTCCCGGTGCTTTCCCTAGGGGCGTGGATGTTATGCACTCTAAGATTTCGTTCTCCGTAATGGGGGCTTCCAGGAGTTGTTGCTGGGTTTTAGACAGGGTTGGTAGCGGGATGTCTGTTAGGTAGGATTGTATGCCTGCCTCTGTGGGTTGCGGGGTGGTCGGATCTTTAGAGAGGTTATATAATTGGCTGTAATATTGGGCAAATTTTTTACAAATGCCTGAGGGTAGGTGGATTTTTTTGGCCCTTTTTATTTACGATGTGTGCTATCCGTGTTTGTTGCTGTCTTTCTCTTAGGCGTTGTGCTACAAGCTTGCTGGCTCTATTACCTTGGACGTATGTGCGAGAGTTTAAGCGCTTCAGCATGAGGCCGAATTTGTGGAGTCAGATCTCATTGAGTTTGTTTTGGAGTGAATTGATTTGCGTTTTATGGTCTGTTGATGGTTGCTTTTGGTTATCTTTGTGAAGCTCTGCCAGTTTTTGTTTGTATTGTATAGTTTCTTTTTCTGATCGTTTCTTTAGATATGTGGCTCTGCTTATTAGTGTGCCCCTAAATACAGCTTTGTGTGCAAGCCAGATCACGTTTTCTAGGGTTTTGCAGTATTGTGTGTCTTTGAGTAGATAGTCATTGAGACGCCATGAGTTTCTATGTTTGTAGTCGTAGGAGCTCGCTTATGTTAATATCGTTGGTGCATGATCTGACCAGTCAACATTCAGAATGTCGCATTCAAATATGTTGGTCATTGTGGATTCATGCATGAAGCACCCGTCAATTCTAGAGTATGTGTTGTGTACTTTGGAGTGGTGCGTGTAGGCTCTTTCTGAAGGGTGGAGGGCTCTCCACACGTCTCTCAGTCCATATGTGGCTAGCAAGTTCCTGAGGCTTTTGCTTTGTTTTTTCAGGGTTTTGTAGTGGGGCAACGTGGGTGGCCTAGTTGAGTCTAATGTTGACTAGAGTGCCTTTCCTCATCTTTTCGATTTTAGTGAGGACCCCGTGCAAAAAATTTCTTTGGTTGGCGTTTGGTGCGTAAATATTCGCCTGTGTGTATTCTATATCGTTAATTGTGCAGTGCCATATGATGTATCTCCCTCCCGGGTCTATTAATTGATATTATCGTGAGGTCCTTGCTGAGGAGAAATGACACGCCTCGAGATTTTCTCGGGGTGGTGGCATGTGCTTGCTGAGCGTATATGTTTGGGCTTATGTGGGGGTGAGCTTCAGTTCTAAATGTGTTTCCTGGAGATATACTATGTCGGCTTGTGTTTTTTTAAGTTCCCTACTCAGAGTGTGACATTTTTGTGGGATATTCAGTCCCTGTACATTGTGGGAGTATAGTTTTAGACTGAATGTGTTTTGGGTTTGCTGTCTTGGCCTTTACTGTCTCGGGTGGTGACTAGCGGTGGGTCACCGCTCTTGCTCTGGGAAGAGTGGTTGGGGATGATTTTAGCTATGCATAGGTGTGGCAGGGTGACCCTATTCAGTTCTATAAGGCGGGTATGTTGTACTAGAGGAGTGTTAACCCTACCTTTGAGTGTATTCCATACAGAGATAGTTGGCGTGAGTTGCCTTTGAGCATAGGTGTATCGAAAACATTTAACATATTTACAACAACATAAACATAACAGAACCCTTGCTCCTGCTTCCTACTGTGGCTTTGTTAGGTTAGTGGGGTATTTATTAGGTATGTCCCGCTTGGGTCGTAACCTGCTGTTTAGACGGGGTCCCAGTCCCGTGATGAATTAACCTTCCCTCACTGCTGCCCCTTTTCACAGAGTTCCTCTCCCCCCTCCCATGTCCCCCGTCCCCTTTTCCTTGTAAGTATGGAATATTTAGCTGTAGTGTTAGCCTGAATACAGGTGCAGCGAGTATATTACCCTCTCTCGTTGTGCTTCCCCTGGTTGACGGCAATCAGTGTCCCAAAGTCCTGAAAGAGATTAACAGCGTCAATGATGTATTTTTTGTTGGTTCGGTCTGTATGGATGCCATCCGTCATCTCCTGGTTTCTGTCACTGGGCTGCGGTATGTTTCGGCGTTTTGGAGTTTTTCACCGTATGCCATTCTTGGTGTAATGTCGACCGTTTGGTTGGTTTGTCTCTTTCCGTGGCTAGGCTGATGCCCCACGAGCGCAGCAGCCGGGCTCCTTCTTATGCGGTTGAGGCTACCTGGGTTTTGCCGTCTCGTAGGATCAGTAGCTTGATTGGGAATCCCCAACGGTACAGGATTCTCCTGTTCATGAGTTCAGCTGTGACGTCTTTGAAAGTTTTCCTGCGTCTAAGTGTTTCAGCAGATAAGTCTGCGTATATTTGGATCTCTTTATATCGGTCCGGGAGGTCTTGTTGAGGTTTCATGGAGCGCAGGATGGATTCTTTTACATGATAGTAGTGCAGTTTGAGCATCACATCCCGCGGTATAGAGGCTGGCAGATGCTGTGGTTTTGCCACTCGATGTGCCCTGTCCATGAGTAGCATGTCGATTGGGAGGTCAGGAGCCAAAACATGTAATAGGTCTGTGAGGTACGTGATAAGGTCCGGTGCCTGTATGTCTTCAGGGATACCTCTCACCCGGAGATTTTGGCGCCTGGATCTATCCTCAAGGTCCATGTTTTTTACTTCTTGTTTCTCAAGTTTTGCTTCCAGCTCCTCAAGTTTTTCCGCCATGCTATTGTGCGCTTCGGCATATTCTGCCATCTTGCCTTCCATGTGGGCTGTACGGTTGCCTATGTCAACAATATCTTTTTCTGGTCTGCTATTGCCGAGTGAACTGTTGCTTGTATTTTTGAAGCCATGTCATCCAGCATTGTCTGGAACAGCTCACCGTGAATTTGCATGGTGTTGGGTGCAGGCTGTTGTGGGGATTGTGGCTGGGAAATCTCCTGCTCATCTCCACTGCCATCGCCATCTTGTGATGTCTGAGCCTGTGGTTTGTGGCCTGCTGTTTTCGTGGCGAAAAACAAGTGTTTTTCTTTGGCGTCAGTCACCCTCCTTGCTCCCCTCTGTGACATCGTGACAGTACCTCTCTCTGGGGGAAATTTGTGCTGGTAGGTTGCTGTTTATATCGCTTTATTTAGCCGTCGGCTCGGGAGCTCCCTTCTCACGCGGCCATTCAGTTCGAGCGCAGGCTCCGCCCCCGGAGCCAAGTTTTTTTAAACTTACAAAGCTTTATTTTCAACATTAAAATTAAATTCCTAAAGGGCCACTATAGTCACCAGAAACACTACAGCTTATAGTAATGGTTATAGTGTCTATAGACTGCCCCTGAATGCTTTTCAATTAAACCCCTTAAGAATGGTGGACGTTCTATGCTGTGCTGGCAGGGACAGTCTTAAACACCATAGGGCTGCATAGAGCGTCTCCACTACTTGTGTATATGTACATGTGTGTGAGGGTGAGTGTGTGTATGTGTATGCTAGATATATGCCTTTGCATATCCTGTAACTCTTCAATGGGAATTCATGCATTCTTAATATAAGTAATTGTAATGGCACCCCCAGGCATAAAAGGGTTAAACCACTGTTTAGTAGATCTTCCCTTCCAGAGACACAGGCACAGCTACTGCAGAACACCAATCCGCCGAACAGGAAACCATATGAATGCCGTAAACAGCCGAATAGGAAAAAACATACGAATAGGTTTACACTCCTAGCAATCAAACTGGAACAGCATACAATAAATCCCCCCAAGACCGAGACAAGGCTCTGTTTTGAGGGTCAAGCAGTGAACAGTCAGAGCTGTGGGTTTATTGTTCTTATATACACATTAGTACCACCCACAGCGTTTTGGAAAACGACCAACACATACAGTACACTCCCACACAAAATCCTCCCCTCTGCCTGTGATACAATTACCTTACACAATGGGTAATGTAATTATCACCGGCAGAGAAATACAGTTTTTCCACATTATTCATAACTTGAAAAGTATGCATCACATTCACATTACATTTTCAGAATCAGCATACTCCAAATACAAACATATGTCAAAATCATCCAAATTGGTCCAGTGGTTCAAAAGATAGATCGTAGTCCTTTGTGACCAAAGGAAACATGGCTTTTCTGCCCAAAACCAGTTCCACAGAGTCTTCTATCCTGGAGATAATTGGGAAGTAATCCAATTATCTCCAAGGACAGAGGCAAAACTCCATTGAACACATGGCAGCAAAAGACAACAAAACACATAAAAATATATAACTGTGCAGCCATTGCACAAAACAGGTACATTCAACATATCCCCAGATAGCTCAGATCTGAGCGCACATTATTACTGAATGGCACTCAGAGCACACACATACAGTTCAATTGCCATGGAGCCAAAGTCTTTCCCATAGTCTTTCATTATACGAATGGGCTCCATGGCATAGCTATCTGGGGTATCACCGCTCAAACAGGGCACGCACCGAATGACCCGGCTTTCGTGTCTTCGCAGGGGAAAATCAAGCGTTTCAACATGGGGCCATAGTCTAAAGGCAGCAGGCGGGCAACCAGGCTCCTCCAAAGCAACGTGGCGAGATTTGTATTTACTCTCCCCTTCTAGCACCATCTTCTGCACGGTTTGCTTGTTTTTTTCCTCTCTCTCCCCCCTCACTCTGTGATCTTCACACAAGATATTTACGACCCTCTGCAAGAATGGTGTCCATTTTCTATGAAACCTGTCTCTTATCTGCACTCATTATTATTATTATGATATTTATAGAGCGCCGTCAAATTCCACAGCGCTTTACAAAGGGTGGACGAACAGACATGTAGTTGTAGCCAGACAAGTTGGACACACAGGAACAGAGGGGGTGAGGGCCCTGCTCAATGAGTTTATATGCTAGAGGGAGTGGGGTAAAATGACACAAAAAGGTAAGGATAGTATTAGAATCAGTCAGGAGCTATTAGCAGTTTTTTGAAGAAGTGGGTTTTTAAAGATTTTTTGAAGGAGTGGAGACTGGGTGAGCAAATAACAGAGGAGGGAAGCGAGTTCCACAGGAACGGTGCAGCCCTCAAGAAAACTTGAAGGCGAGCATCAGAAGTGGGAGTACGGACAGAAGATAGATGTAAGTCTTCAGCAGATCGTATGTGCCTAGACGGGAAATATTTGTGTATAAGGGAGGATAGATAGGTGGGAGCAGCATTATGTAGAGATTTGAAAGCAAGAACCAGAATTTTAAATTGACCTCTATATTTTATAGGAAGCCAATGTAGGGACTGACAGAAGGGTGAGGCATGGGAGGTGCAGGCGGAGAGGAAGATGAGCCTCACCGTCGCATTCAATTCATGTCACTTATTCTATGTGTCGTCTTGCTTTAGACTTGAGAAAGGGAGGTTCTCCCGAAAGTTTGTCATTAAACAA